CTGGTGCTGCAGAGAGAAAGCCTCAGGCTTCCACTGACTGCCAGAAGGAACAGACCACGGTTTGGTCACAGCGCAGTCGCCCCAGCGGCTGCGGAGGTTTGGCTGCCTCCCTTTCGCATTGTTTTAGGCAGCTGTGATGGAAAACACTGCTCTGCCATCGGTAAATGCCCCGTGCTGGGAGGAACAATACCCCGCTCCTGTGCCAGCCGCAGCGGCCCCTGCAGCTCGGGGGAGCCTCCAGCATGGGTGAAGTGACTTGCAGGGAGATGCAGGCAGCAGGAAAGGAATCCCAGCGGTCTCCAGGCCATGGGAATATTGTTCCCTGTGAGTCTGGGCACAGCATCTGAGGGGAACAAGAGCCCAGGCGTGGACATAAGCACTGGCAGCTGATGAGCACCCTGAAACCAAGCTTTGGGCAAAGAACCATTGAGAGCTGCTCTGAGCAGTTCCAAGGGGGGCAAAGGTATCCCTGGGTGGCTGTTGGAGCCCCGCGATTCCCAGTCCATCCCTTACAATGCCCTCACAGCAGCAGGGCGCTGGTCCCATGAAGCCACAGGCAGCATCACGCGAGATCCCAGCACCCTCCATGGTTCACAGGGCTCAGCTCGCAGGAAACCATCTGGATTCAGGAATTCTTTGCACCCTTGGCTTCTCCTTCTGCAACCCCCCTGCTCCCACCAGCTCAAGAGGCCGCATCTGTGCTGCTGGAATCATCCCAGCGATGGGAAGCGGTAGAGGAGCAGCTATAGGGGAAGATCCTTTGCCAGGCAAAGCCTCCCCTCCTCAGTGTCCCCATGGAACATCACTGCTTGGTGCCAGTAACTTCATTCTGGCTTCCACCTTCCCGAAGAGAAACCCTTCGGAGCTTGGAAATCACTGCTCAGACATGGAAATCAGGGCAGGAGAAGAGGTCCCAAAGCAAAACCACTGGAGCTGGGCTCACAGAGGCCTCTGTTGCCATTCAGATCCTTCACTTTCGCCTACTCAACATCCATGAACTTCCCATGGCTGAACCCTCCTGCTCCCAGTGTTTAAGCAACGCCTTACCCCACTTGTAACCTAGGTTTTGGGGGAGCCTTCCTCGCGGGCATTCCCGGTTGTGCCCCTATGGCAGCAAACAGGCATTTCCTACAGTTTCCAGACTGCTTGCCATGACGCTGCCCAGACTCCAAGGCTGGGGAGTGCAATGGGAGCCGGTGCCCACGGTTACTGGGGAAGCAGGAGCAGGGGTCTCAGCACGGGTGCCACAAACCAGCCTGGAAGGCAGCGGGAAGGGGAACCGGGCGCAGCCGAGGAGCCGCGGGGCTGCAGCGAGGGCCAAGGCGGCGCCAGGCGCTGCCCGTCCACAGGGGGCAGGTCCCGTGCGCGGGAGGCCACGGGGCCGGGGAGCAGGGACCAGAGCATCCCTCGGGTTCCCATCACCGCGCGGTGAGCGCGGCTCCGGGCACGGCACCAGCGCAGGGGGCGCTGCGGGAGACCGAGGCCGCTTCCGCTGCAGCGGACGGAGGCCGGTAAATGGGGAGCTGCAGCGTCACGGGGGGCCCCCGAAGGGCCGGGGCTGAGCGGGGAAGGAATCGCACCTGAGCACGGGGACCCGACAGCCCCCAGCCCTCCACACGCTCCCCACCAACCCCAACCAGCGCCGGGACAGCCGAGGAGGACGGCGCTGAGAGGGAGCCGACGCTGAGACAAGGGCAGGGAGCTGGGAGCAGGGCGGTCCTGGCTGCCCACGGGCACAGGAGATGGGGTTTAGGCCTGGGGACCGCCAGGAGGTCCTGCTGCTGCTGCGGGAGGGTTTGCACAAAGGCAGGGTTACCGATGGGATGCTGCCTCCTGTAGGAAGCGCTCACTGCAGGCAGCGCAACGCCCCTGCCCCAAACGTGTTTCTCTGCTTCCTCCCACGTCCTTCCCACACCCACCAAACTCCTCAGAACTGAGCTTATCTTGGCCTGCAGTGTGTGCTGCCTATACACAGCTCATGTACATAATACACCCCCTTCTGCTTACACACAGCTCATGTACATAATACACTGCGTTCTGCTTACACACAGCTCATGTACATAATACACCTCCTTCTGCTTACACACCATCCATGTATATAATGTACCTCGTTCTGCTTACACACCATCCATGTATATAATGTACCTCATTCTGCTTACACACCATCCATGTATATAATGTACCTCGTTCTGCTTACACACCATCCATGTATATAATGTACCTCGTTCTGCTTACACACCATCCATGTATATAATGTACCTCACTCTGCTTACACACCATCCGTGTATATAATGTACCTCGTTCTGCTTACACACCATCCATGTATATAATGTACCTCGTTCTGCTTACACACCATCCATGTATATAATGTACCTCGCTCTGCTTACACACCATCCATGTATATAATGTACCTCGTTCTGCTTACACACCATCCATGTATATAATGTACCTCCTTCTGCTTACACACCATCCATGTATATGTACCTCCTTCTGCTTACACACCATCCATGTATATAATGTACCTCGTTCTGCTTACACACCATCCATGTATATAATGTACCTCGTTCTGCTTACACACCATCCATGTATATAATGTACCTCGTTCTGCTTACACACCATCCATGTATATAATGTACCTCGCTCTGCTTACACACCATCCATGTATATAATGTACCTCGTTCTGCTTACACACCATCCATGTATATAATGTACCTCTTGCTTACACACCTCCTGTAATAATGTACCTCGTTGCTTACACACCATCCATGTATATAATGTACCTCGTTTGCTTACACACCATCCATGTATATAATGTACCTCGCTCTGCTTACACCATCCATGTAATATAATGTACCTCTTTGTTACACACCATCCATGTATAATGTACCTCGTTCTGCTTACACACCATCCATGTATATAATGTACCTCGTTCTGCTTACACACCATCCATGTATATAATGTACCTCGTTCTGCTTACACACCATCCATGTATATAATGTACCTCGTTCTGCTTACACACACAAGAGCCACAGAACTGAGCATGCAAACCTTTGCTCTGGAACTGCAAGCTCCAGGTTTTCAGTGTCCTGGCACTGCAGGTCTCCCACCGAGCAGGAGCTCCAGGCGCTGCTCTTCTGACCTAGTAGCTAAAGCCCCACTTCAGACACCAAACATGACCTCATTAATTCTAATTACTGCTTATCTCACGCAAACCATTTGCCACTGGTGCTCCCCTTCGCCTGTGCCACGTTACCAGCCACATGAAGGTGATCCCTGCCCATGGCACTGGTTTTCCCACTCGGGTGATGAAGCACAGTGTGCCTCAGGAGACTTTCACCATCCCCACCACAACTGCCCTACTCAGGCAGTTTGCATCATTGACACCTTCCCTGAGGATGCAGCTGCTCTCCTCACACAGGCCAACATTCAGACAACACAGGAGTGATCCTGATTCCTAACCCCCCCCCCCCCAATCCATCAGATCTTCCAAGGACGGACAAGAACACCCGTTCTTTCCCCTAAACTCATCACGACCTCCATAAGCCCCCGTGTGACATCTCCCAACCAGCCTCAGGTTTAGTACAAGACACCAAACACTTCACAAGCACCGTTCCCCCTGGAAGGGAAGCAGATCCCAGGAGGGACCATGCCCTGGGAACTGCTCCTTCCTTAGGAGCATCCCCAGGGCTGGATCCCCATCCCTGGGAGTCTTCAGGACTCAGCAAGACAAAGCCCTCAGCCGAGCCGGGCTGGCGCTGCCAGTGCTCCTGTCTCAAGCAGCAGGATGGATTGCCTGACCTCGAGTCACTCCAGCCAACAGCTCCATGCCAAGCCTGACGCAAGGGGGCTCCTTCCCCCCTCAAAGCTGAGCACTGGGAAGTGTCTACACTTGTCACCAACAGCACTGAGAGCTCCTGCTCTGCCTTCACGGGTCACAGAAATGAGACCCGAGGTCTCCTGCATTCACTGGCCAAACCCAAGGTGACTCAATCACTTTAATGGCATTACAAGACTTCAGATCATTCTTCCCCTGCCTCAGTTTCCTCCCCCGCTGATCTTGAGAACAGACAACAGGAAGCTTAATGGATGGCTTCCAACCAGGTTTTGAGATCTGGAGATGGAAAGGCACAAATGGGAGAGCAAAACATTGACTAAACTGGGAGTGACGTGTTACTGCTCCCCAGGCAGCCTCAGAGCCCTGCACTGCTGGGGCTCCTATCTTCAAAATCACAGCAACGCAGCAGCATCTTTCCCCATCGCTTCTCTGCTGGAGCCAGGGTGGTTGCAGCACCCGTGCTGCAGGGTACGAGAGCTCTGCCAAGAGCACACCAGAGCCAAGCGAGGTTTCCACACCACAGAGCCCACGTCCCGCTTCTCCGGAGCCTCCTGATGCTCCCTGCGATGCCAGCGGGGAGCAGCCCTTGTCCTGGTGAGCTCCAGCACGGCCTTCCCAACCACACCACTCACGAGCCAGTCCTGACAAGTGCCCTGGACTCAGCTCGCTCTCTGGCCAAGCCTTTCTTGGTGTCCTGAAGAAGGCAGCAGCGCTGGGGCTGCCATGCTGGCAAGCAGCATCACCAGCTCAGAGCATGGGACCAGGAGCGGTGCCTGCAGGGCGATGGGCTGAGCCCACCTCACAACACAACTCACATCCCCATAGACCTCCATCACCTGCATCCCCCAGCACCACCTCCCTGTCCATGGTCGCGGTGGGGCAGCAGGACCCTATTGCATGGCTCTGCAGTGCCTGGGGATGGACACCCCGGCAGCGATGTCCTCTTTGGGGGGACCAACCAGCAGCACCACCACCACCACCACCACCACCACCATCATCAGCAACAGCAACAGCAACAGCAACACCAACACCAACACCAACACCAACACCACCATCACCTCCCTGGGGGACCCTCACCTGCCTCCCACACCCACAGCTCCTGCCCCTCTCTCTGCCCTCCCCTCCCCATTGGCCAGGGCAGCTCCTGCAGCGTCTCCATTGGCTCCCTCGGCTGCTCATCAGCCCCCGGGGGTATTTATGCAGGCGAGGTCCAACACTCCCTGTGCTGTCAGTGCTGGGAGCGGAGGAGCCAGGTAAGGCTGGGGCTGTGGGGCTGTGGGGCTGTGGGGCTGTGGGGCTGTGGGGCTGTGGGGCTTGGGTCAGGGCTGGGGGAGCCCCCAAGTCTGCTCCTTGTTTACCCAGGGGCTCTGCAGCCTCTTGCCCTGGCGGCTCTTTGCGGCCCTCCCAGGGATGGAGGGTGCGGACAGGGCAGGGAGCTGGCTCCATCCTGGAGCCCTTGGCTCCTGGGTGCACTAAGGCTGATGTGCCCCTGCTGAGGGGCCTTTCCAGCTCCCTGGGGAAGCACTGGGCTGTGTGCTGCGTTTGTGCTGCTTTCCCCATCTGGGGCTGGGGGGGTCTGGGCTTTCTGAGGCCAAAGGTGACATCTTACGGTGTCATGCTGTACCTGCTGTGCCTTGGGGAAGAGCTGGAAGGCTTCAGAGCATTCTCTAAAGGCTTCCTAGACTCCTCGATAACGCCACGTGTCTGTGATTGAGCAGCTTTGGGCCTGAAAGCTCTTTTCTGCTTCTTAGACAAGAGGACCAAAGGGGTGCGAGGGGTGCGCTGGAGGCAGCTCTTCCCCCCCAGCCAGTGCAGGATGTGCACCCTGGCCATCAGCAGTGGTGGTGCTGTGGTATGTGCTGCACGAGGCAGCTGATCGCTTGGGCATCCCCTTCCTGTTGACAGTGCTTCCAACCCTGCCTGTAGCTATTGCACATGATCCTTAGGTGTAGGCATGATAATGATGCTCACCAAGCGGGTGGCTGGAGTGACAAGGTGACTCCTGCTCTGCAGATGGAGGCTGCACCCGTGCAGGGCTCTGCTCCCTGCTGAAGGGAGCCCTTGGCAAAGCGCCTTCATGCTCCTCAAGACTACCCAGGTTTGCAGTGTGGGTTGGTGACTGCCTGAAACCCTGCGTGCCTGCAAAGGCCTTCAATTCCTGATGCTGGCTCTGCTGGAAGGGCACATGGCAATGGGTGTTAGAGCAGCGTGCAGCTTGCTCTGCAGGTTACAGCCTCTGTCTGAAGCCGAGGTGTGTGCTGTGGAAAGATGGGGAATGGGAGGTACTGGGAAGCTGAGGAGCTGTTTTAATGAACCCCCCTTTCCTCTTTCCTGAAGTATCTCCCAATTCCAGCAGCTTGGATAGCTGATGGTAACTGCCCCATGAGCTACTGACCTGCAGCCACTGGCTGCGGTGCTTGATTTCTCTTGGAGGCCTGGCTTTAATCTTTGAGGCTCCCTAATGCCGATGGCTTTCCAGAAAGGTCGGATGAGCACCTCCGCCAGCAATTCCCAAAGGGATGTCCTAAGGGCAAGGCTGAAGATCATCTGATCCTCTTCCTAAAGCAGGCTCTGCCCTAAGAGCATCTCCAGAGGGCTCCCGGGCTGTGGGCAGTGCCATCCCCACTGCAGCTCTAGGAACTGGGGTATCAGTGGCCAATCTCGAGAAGAATGTAAATAAGTGCTTTCACCACCAATGGGCCCTCATTAGCCCTCCCTGCTCATAGCCAAAGCACTCCTTCAGCTTTGTTTGCCTAAAGGGTCATTAAGGACTTGCCAGTTAAGCTATTGAGCAGGCATGCAGCCATGGGCAGTTTGTTTTGCCATGGTAAAACACTTCTGGACGGGAGAAAAGCTTCCTAAACAACAAGAGCCCACCCTCACATCTGATCTTCACGGTTCCCAGAGGAAAGAAAAGCCTTGCCCCAGCTAAAGGAGCAGTTCTGTGTGTGATGGTCACTGTCAGGGTGACAGGAACCAAGCCCCAGCAGGGAGGGACTTGTCCTGCTGCCAGGCTAACACACAGCACTGGCTGTGACAGTCGGACCTGCTGCTCTTGCTGGTTCACCCAGTTCAGGCTCGTGCCAAACTGGGCAAGGACCAGCACCTGAGCTGTTCTGCCATGCTAGAAATGGGTGCTGAAGAGTTTCATCTTGCTGAAACTGCCTCTTTCAGCTTTCTCCAGTAGTGACCTAGTATTTCTCACGTAGCAATGGTATGAAACCATCTGCTTGTCATTCATATCCAAAGCAAACAGCAATGCTGTTTCTGCTCTCAGGCCTGGTGATTCCCCCCATGCGTGTGGGGTCTCTCTGTTGGGATTCCCCCTTGAAACTGTGCCTTCCTTCAACGGATCCTGAACCAGCTCCCCCAGGAGTACCCAGCACTGCGCTTTCCTGCAGGCTCAGAAGGAAAATGAGGTCTGCTCAGCACTTCTGCAGGGAAAAGAGAAACTAAAACCATGCTGTGGGCTCAGGAAGGTTTGCCTGCCCCACCAATACTGGCATTGCAACACACCTCACCCCTCCTACGTGGAGGAGAGCAAACCATGCCCTAACATGACTGTGCTGCAAGGACTATCAGACACGGCTGCATCCATAATTAAGACAGGCTGCTAGTACTTCAGAGGCTGGTTCTAACCTGAAACTGGTTTTTCCATCAGGTGAGGAGTTACTTCTGGCTTACGCTGCACTGGGGTGCCTACACCAAGGCCAGTGAGAGGCTCTGCAGCTGAGTTTCTCCCACCCTTCTAGAAGTGTTTTACTCAGCAAAGGGGCTGTTTGCAGTGCTGTGTTAATAGCTGTGCCTTGCCCCGTGACAGGGCTGCAGGCTGATTCAGCCTTCTCAGCTTCCAAAACACCAACAAGCCTGCCCTAAAGCGGAGCAGGAGGAATGGGCAGTGAGTGAGCAAAGCCTGTGGACTTTGGGACTCTGTTCGAGCCCTGCTTTGCTTTGGGGCCGTTCTCTTGGGCTGCTCAAGCCCAAGCTGTGCTTCTGCAGGGCTGTTAAAGCCGGGAGCCCTCTGGGCAGGGGGGTACCACAGGAGCCTCTGCTTGAGATGCTGGAGGTCCAGTGCCTGGGACCCCTTTGCTGCAGACACGGAGCACTCGGTGCCCCATTAAAACACTGCTGATTGCATGCTTCACCCAGCAAGATTTGTCCTCCTGCCTAGCTGCCTCCTGAGAAGCCTCCCCTGGCTCCAGGCAAGGGCCAGGCCTAACGAGTGCTTGTTTCACTACTTCTTGCCCAGCTCTCTGTTCCTGTTTCCACAGGAAAATAAGAGCCCTACTCAAGGCAAAGAGCACAAGAAACGAGCCAAGGGTCTCCTCCTGAATCAGATGGCAAGTTCGGGGGGGTAGAGCTTGGAGCAGTGCTTGGCTCGGGCATCCAGTTGGTGAGGAGTTTTGGTTTGGGGGCTTTCCATTGGAAAATGCCACCGTGGTTCTAAGAACAGGGCTTCACTGGCATGGGGGAGAAAAGCAGATGCTGCACTGGAGAACAAACATGCTGAAATCCCTGCTGTGCCTGCCTAAGGAGGAGAGGCAATCCCGGATTATCACCCGATACTGGAGTGTCCAGATACCAGCCTAAATCTGTGCTGGGGAAGTCAATACCCACTGAAGAGATTGCATCATTTTTATACTTGAAGTTCTGCATGCCATGATGTAATGAGAACACTGCTGAGGCTCGGTTTCACAGGAACTAGGAGAGATTTCCTGCTTCACTGGGCAGCAGGAGAGAGAACACCAGGAAAGCTTCCCAGGATCTTCATGCCCTTCCCTGAGCTGCATCTGCCCCTCTGGCTGGAGCTGGTAGTGGCAGGGAAGCTGACAGAGGGTCCCCACCATGAACACAGGCAGAGCGGGGTGACCAAATGACCCTTGGTTCAATGTCCTTTGCAAGGGATACTCCAGAGGGAAGGGGCTATCAACACTGACGGTGAAATAAGGTGAAAGAAGCCCATTGCTGTTTCAGCATCTCTGGTCAGTCTCTTATAGAAGGACAGTAATGGAGTGAGACAACCTCCAGTGATTCCTCACTTACATTTGCTCTCCATGGAGCAGCTTGGTGGGCATCCAGACAGGGTCAACCCACCACACACAAAATGCAAGACAGATAAGAGAGTTCTCACCCACTTCCAACCTGCTGCTCTGAAGCCAGATAAATGTTACCAGCAATAAAATAAGTGGGATGGTTATTGAATGTATTCGGCTGTTTGGGGATTGAGGGAGGGGACAGAGCACAGCCCTTGTCCTACATGAATATGCTGCCCTACTCTTGCTTCTCCTTCCAGCTGCAGCTGAGTTCACTATGGCATCACGGAAGACCACAAAAAAGGATCTGCTGAAGGCTGAGGAACAGCAGCAAGGGGTAGGTGCCAGGGCAGACAGAACAACAACATGCAACAGTTAAACTCCCTGCTGAGCTCCACTGGTGAACTAACGCCTGTCAGCACCTCAAAACAAAGATTAACCCTATGGAGCTGTGGCTAAATCTGAACTCAGTTGGCCCAGAAGCTCAAGAGAGCTTCAGGGCCTGCTCAAGTAATTCTGACACATGAGCGGTTACAGGCCCTATTTCCACATCTGGGTTTGGTGCTGAAACTCAGAGTGACTCAGACTTCATGAGCCCAGAGCTCATGAACTTTTAATCCTGGCTTGTCACTGGCTTGCTATCAGGTTTTGGATGAGTCTCTTAAACTCTGAGATTAAGAAGGAGGAGGAGGTGAATTAGATATCTCCTTAGGACCTTTCTGCATAGACCCACGGCTTGTATTCACTCCCAGCTTGAGGCTGGGTCTCTAATGTCATTTATTTCTCTTGGGGTTTAGAGTGCTGTCAATAGAGTCACCAGCTTACCCTTGCTCAACTCTGCTTTTAACCTGGTCTCATCTGCCTACAACTATACCAAGGAGACCCATCCTTGCCTCAGCGGTGTCTGCAATGTGGCTGAGACCGTAGCTGCTGTCGCCGTAGGCAGCGTGGTTGGGGGGGCACAGCCCATCCTGAACCAACTGGAGCCACAGAGTAAGTGAAGAGTGACCCTCCCTACACAGATGAGGAGGTGGGGAAGGGAGCTTCATGTGTCTGTTGGGTGGTGTCCACCTCCTATAGCACCTTGTTCTAGTTGACTGGAGCACTGAGTCTTCCACTCAGCAGCTCCCAGCTGCTCAATGGACACAACACTGTTAACAGCCAAAACAACTGGCCTCTTGACTGTGGTTCCTTTAATTCTCCAGCCCAAACCTCCCTGCTCTTCATCTCGCTAAGCTAGGAGCATCCCAACTGGTAGCAGCAGTGTCTGCCTTGGATACAGCTCAGTCTGTCTCATCCCAACCCAACCCTTTAGGCTGATAATCCTACCTACCCAGGGCAAGTATTGCACTCCAGCTGCAGCAGTGTGCTGCCAATAGCTACAAAGCTGAGAAGGCAAAATGGAGAGTACTTAAAGCTGCCTAACTGTAGGGTTTGTTCACTCTTCCAACAAGCCACCCCACCCCAGAAAGATGATCCAGAGGGGAGCTTGCTTTCATGGGTATCCTGGATTGGCCATTGTAGGGTCAAAAGCCCCTCTCCCAACTGAAGAATAAACTAATACCTGTTGTATTTTCTAGTTGCACTCGTAAATGAATATGCCTGTAAAGGACTGGATCAGCTGGAGGAGAACTTGCCTTTTCTTCAACAGCCAGCAGATAAGGTAAAGGAAAGGCTTTTCCTTATGGGAACCTGTGACTTGTCTCTTGCTTGATGGAACTGTTATGGGTACAGAATATGGGGAAATAAACTCCAACAGCACTGCTGTGTCAGCTCAGGCCCTGGGGTGGGCTAGAGGAGGCCCTGTGAGCTCAGAAAAGCTGGAGAGATGCCTTCAGCATGTCCATGTAAATACAGTGTACAGACTTCCTGCTCTCCCCCAAGGCTACAAGCACCATTTAGCCGTATGGGAAAGCTACTTCAGGGAGGGAAAACCTATTTCAGGGAAAAACAAAGTCACTTCCTCTGCCTCTCGCTGTTGCAGGTAATCTCAGACACCAAGCAGCTGGTTTCCACCAAAGTGACATCCGCTATGGATGCTGCCTGCGAGGCAAGAGAAGCAATGGCCAATAAAGTGACTGAAGCTGTGGACCTCACTAAAAGTGCTGTTGGGGACAGTGTCAAGCTGACCAGGTCAGTGGTCACTTCCACTATTAACAGTGCTGTGGAGGCTGCTCATGGTGCCAAGGACCTGGTGACCACCAAGGTGACCGAAGCGATGGACCTCACAAAACACGTGGTGGAGGACAGCATTGAACATACCAAGTCTGCTGTAGCTTCTACTATTGTCAACGCTGTGGAAGCTGCCCAAGGTGCCAAGGACCTGGTGACCACCAAGGTGACCACCAAGGTCACCACCAAGGTGACCGAAGCAGTGGAGGCTGCCCAGGGTGCCAAGGACCTGGTGACCACCAAGGTGACTGAAGCAATGGACCTCAGTAAACACATGGTGGAGGACAGCATTGAACAGACCAAGTCTGCTGTAGCTTCTACTATTGTCAGTGCTGTGGAGGCTGCCCAGGGTGCCAAGGACCTAGTGACCACCAAGGTGACCACCAAGGTGACCGAAGCAGTGGAGGCTGCCCAAGGTGCCAAGGACCTGGTGACCACCAAGGTGACTGAAGCAATGGACCTCAGTAAACACATGGTGGAGGACAGCATTGAACAGACCAAGTCTGCTGTAGCTTCTACTATTGTCAGTGCTGTGGAGGCTGCCCAGGGTGCCAAGGACCTGGTGACCACCAAGGTGACTGAAGCAGTGGAGGCTGCCCAGGGTGCCAAGGACCTGGTGACCACCAAGGTGACCACCAAGGTGACCGAAGCAGTGGAGGCTGCCCAAGGTGCCAAGGACCTGGTGACCACCAAGGTGACCACCAAGGTGACCGAAGCAGTGGAGGCTGCCCAAGGTGCCAAAGACCTAGTGACCACCAAGGTGACTGAAGCAATGGACCTCAGTAAACACATGGTGGAGGACAGCATTGAACAGACCAAGTCTGCTGTAGCTTCTACTATTGTCAATGCTGTGGAGGCTGCCCAGGGTGCCAAGGACCTGGTGACCACCAAGGTGACCGAAGCAGTGGAGGGGGCCAAGGACCTTGTGACTAATAAGGTGACAGAGGCAGTGGACTTCAGTAAGCATATTGTGGAAGACGGTGTTGGACGAACCAAGTCTGCTGTAGCTTCTACTATTGTCAATGCTGTGGAGGCTGCCCAGGGTGCTAAGGACCTGGTGACCACCAAGGTGACCGAAGCAGTGGACCTCAGTAAGCACATGGTAGAAGACAGCGTTGGACGGACCAAGTCTGCTGTTGCTTCTACTATTAGTGCTGCTGTAGAGGCTGCCCAGGGTGCCAAGGACCTGGTGACCAACAAGGTGACTGAAGCCATGGACCTGACCAAAGGGGCTGTTCAAGACAGTGTTGAGAAGACCAAATCAGTGGTCACTTCCACAGTCAGTACAGCTCTGGATGCTGCATATGGCACCATTACTAGCAAAATCAATACAGCCCTGGAGCAGGGCAAAGGGGCTCTCCAGGAGGGGGTGGAAATGACCAACTCGGTGGTGACCAACAGCATAAGCAAAGCCAAGGCAGTGAGCCAAGCAGTGGGAGGTGGTGTGGAAGCTGTCCTGGGTATGTCAGAAGACCTGGTGGATCACTACCTCCCCATGACAGAGGAGGAACTAGGTGAGAAAACGCTTGCTTGGCGCTTGTAAATGCAAGTCCTTGAGCAGCTGACTAGAGAGCACCTGACACTGCAGGGCTCATCTTCTGAAGCAGTCAGGTAGCTCCATGTGGTATGGGACAGAGCAAGCATTTGCTTAGCTGGTCCTTGCCCATCAGCCTCAAGGCAAATAAACCCATGGGTACATGCTTCAACCTATCTAAAGTCTGCTTATCTGAAGAGAACACATTGAGCAGGGACCACCATACCTTTAACATCTGAGCAACTGCAACCCTTTGCACAGCACGCTTCAGCCTTCCCGATTCTCAATGGGTGACCTTACCTCTTCCCCTCCAGCTGGGCGAGCGGAGCTCAGCTACACCTCTCTTCTTGTTTCCTCCAGGTAATCTGGCCACCTCTGAGGGACCTGGCATGGCTTCTGTGGAGGAGCAGAGGCACAACAAGAGTTACTTTGTGCGCCTGGGGTCCCTGTCGACCAAAGTGCGGCGCCGAGCCTACCACCTCTCCCTGCACAAACTGCAGCACCTCAGGCAGAGCACCCAGGAGACGCTCTCCTGGCTCCAGCTGGCAATAAAACTGGTACAAACCTGCCTTTCCCTCTGTCCTCCTGCCTGTAGCCTTCCTGCCCTGCTAGCCACATGGAAGCTCTTCCTCCATGCTCCACCAGCTGCATGTCACCTTGGCTCCCTCCCTGGGAGGGAAGCACTGGTGCTGCTCTGATTCTGTGCTCGCAATCCAGCTCTTCCTCTCCTTTTTCCCATCAGATTGAGTCTGTGAAAGGGGAGGTTGGCCAGAAGCTTCTGGATGGGCAGGAGAAGCTCCATCAGCTGTGGCTGGACTGGAGCCTGACCCAACCCAAAGGAAACCAAGTCAGAACTGCCTCCCAAGTAGAGGTATCCCTACAAGGGGGTATTTAATCAGGCCTCTTGGTGCATCTCACCTGCTCTAGTAACTGAGCTCTATCTCTTTCCCATCAGGTAGAGTCCCGGACTCTAACCATGCTGCATATCATCACCCAGCAGCTCCAACCCATTTATGAGAACCTGAAAGCCAGCATCCAAGGCCTGCCCAGCAACATCCAAGCAGCTGTGTATCAGGGCACCCGGAACATCCACAAGCTCCACAGATCTTTCTCCAGTGCTGTGTCCTTCCAGGACCTCTCCAGCACCACCCTGACCCGGAGCCAGGACCGGGTGGCAGAAGCCCGAAGGTCCCTTGATGTGCTCTTTGAGTACGTCACTCAGAACACTCCTCTCAACTGGGTTGTGGGGCCCTTCAGGGCAGAGGCTACCGTGTCACAGGGGAGCAGGAAGCAGCAGAAGAAAGATTCGGTGCCTCCAATGAAATCACCTGTGCTGGAAAAGGCCACATCATCAAAGGAGGGGGCTGAGACACCCGAAGAACCAAAGGGAGCACACGAGGTCCTAGGGGAAGGGGGTGAAGTGCTGGAGAAGCTGGAGGAGAAGGCAGAGGAAGACACAGAGGTGGCACTGGCTGCAAAGGAGGTAAAAACTAAAGCACCAGAGGAGGATCTCTGAAGAACTCCAGCTCCTGTGGCCATGGCTCCCTGGCTAGAACATCACTTTGTCTCCCAATCATGTGCCAGAAGTGCCTCCTGCTGCCTCACTGAGCCTCCAGTGAGATCTGGTTTGGAAGGAGACTCAAACCCAAGTGGGCTGATTCCATACCTTGATTCCTTGTAAACCCTGCTGCTCTGAAAGGGAAGATGGGGCCCTCTGTCCTTTGGCTTCTGAAGTCAGCCCAGGTGTGTGGGAAGGGGTGGCTCTTGCTGAAATAAGCTGTGGGAGAGAAGCAGTGATTTCCACTTAGTTTTAATGTTGGATTTGGGTTTAATTCAGACCAGCTGCTCTAGAGGAGGATGGGCCTGACCTCCTGCGGCAAGTTTTAAGCATCCATGTTCCAGGTTACCTTCCTTTCTGCCTCTTGTGCTTCCAGAGAGGCTCAGCCCCGGATGGGGGAAGAGGCTGCCTCAAAAAGGGACTTTTCCTTATGGATCCAACCCTTTCTTTCATAGAGAACCACTGAGCGAGGTGGGGTTTTCCTTCAAGCATGCCAATGTGCAAGGGATTATCTTGCCTTCAGGGATGAGCTGCCTGTGAGTAACTCCATGCAGGCTTTGCAGCCATAAAGAAACCAATAACTGAGGCAGCTTTTGCATGGAGTCCCTCTGCCACAATGCCAGGATATCCTGCTATTAAAACAGGGCTGATCAGTGCTGGATATTTTCCCAGCGAATAATGCTGTGTCATCATTTCTAATGTAACTTATTTGGGTAATGACTGTCCCAAGGCTGGAATAAAGGCAAGCAGACATCAGAATAAAGCATGACCTGTGTCCAAAGAACTACCCGTGTCTGTGTGTGTCTAAAGGGGCATTGCTGTGTTCTCCCTTAGCCTGAGCTGGGAGCGAGCTTGCATTTAGTGAATCACCTCATAGGGATGCAGGGACAGGCCAAGGGGAATGGCTTGAACCTGCCCGAGGGGAGACTGAGCTGAGCTCTGAGGCAGAAGCTCTTCCCTGTGAGGGTGCTGAGGCGCTGGCACAGGGTGCCCAGAGGAGCTGTGGCTGCCCCATCCCCGCAGGGCTCGGTCGGTGCCGCCTCAGCCCAGCGCTAGAGGCCGGAGCCGCTTCTCCGGATGCGAAGCTTCCGAGGGGGAGGATCCCTTCGCGGGGGGGGAGGTGGCTGCTCCCCGCTTCCTCGTGCTCCTGCCGGCTCCGCCCGCACCGCTCCCGGCCCCGCCGCACACGGACCCCCCCGGAGCCAGGGGCGAGGAGCGGGACCCGGCTCCGCGGTGAGTCAAGGGAAGGGAGCGCAGCCCCGACGGGCCGGGGGCGGGGGGGGGGGGGCCGGGGCCGTTTGACGGCTCGGGAGGTTTCCATGGGAAGAGCCAGCGAGTTCCTCACGCGTGGCCTGAGCTCATTCATTGGGCAATGGGAGGATTTCTATGAGAAAAGCGCCGTTTGAAACGGGAAACTTTCCCCGTCTGGGGCGGCTGCTGCGCTCCCCTTTAAATAGGGAAAGCTGAGAGCCTGCGAGCAGGGACCCTGCAGGCACCCGCGGCCCCGCTCCGGACAAGTCCTGCCTCTGGTGAGTGAAAGGGTTTAACAGGGCTCGGGAACAGAGGGAGAGGCAGAGTCCACGGTGTTATGAGGCTGCCAGGCAGAGGATGCATGTGGGTTACAACCCGCGTGGCAGAAGGAGCCTGAATGGGCTTCCTTCCTCTAGGCGTGCGTTACTCCTCACTGCCCATCGCAAGGAGCCTGGAACCGGCTGCCTGGAGGAGACCAGACACTTGGATTTACCCCAGTGCGTTATTAGTGCAGCAGTTAGTTCAAAGCGGTTGTAATTAATGTGACCTGAACGCAGAGAACGTGCTCATTGCTTACTAACAGGCTTGGGATAACGTGTGGAGCTCCGGCAGACCTGCGAGCGCCGGAGAGATGCAAAAGGACTTGAAAGGTGCGAGGGGGAGCTGGAGCATCCCCCCCAGCTCCCCACATCACCAGTTCTGGACGCTGTCCTGTGTTCTCCTCACAGGTTCCTCAAGACAGAGACGCCCAGCGCTGGGATGAGCTCCTGAGCAGCACAGAGCCATCACTCGTGCAGTACGTGCCTGTGGCCAGAGCATCGGAGAGAAACGAGCCTTCAGGTGCTGGGAAACCCCTATTCCATCCATGCTGCCTTGGTCGCTGGTCCAGGCCACCAGCTGAGGAGATGGCGCAGAGCACCCCGCTCCAGCCCAGCTTTGAGGACGTTCTTCATATTCTATCCCAGGTCCCTCAAGACAAACTCCTGAGCCTCAGACATAAACTGAAGCACTTGGTATTCGGGCCCAGCAGCAAATTATTGCAAGCCATGGTTCTGCTTGCTCTGGGACAAGAAACGAAGGCAAGGATTTGTCTGGATGCCTTGGGAGATAACCGGGCAGCCCAGTATGTCCATCAGACCAAACTGGGTGCTGCAGGAGCACAGAAAGATGGGGAGGATTTGCAGCCTCCCAAGCTGGATGCAGGTACCATGAAGCTGCTGGCAGATATCTACACGGTGCTGGTGAAGGAGAAACTGTGCAGCCCTGAAGCCATGGAGAAGGCCTGCCGGGCTGCCAGCGAAGCCGGCAAGGCCAGCAAGGAAACTGTGCTGGGAGCACTCCGCAGCATTCCACCCAGGGAGCAGGGAGAACACAGCTCTGCTGCCAGCATGGGCTCAGGTGACAAAGAGCAGATGCTGGGTTCTGATGCGCCCACCCCAGAGTACGTGGTGAGGAGTTCTCCGGTGCAGATAGGAATCCACTCAGACCTCTCACGCCTCTCAAGCCCAAGGAGTCTGCGCTCTGTGGAGAGCTCCTCGGAGAACTTCTCTTTCCCCAGCCACCTGGAGATCAGCGCATCACCAACAGCAGCTCTCCACAGCAGGGCCTCCCATCCAGAGCGGGTGCAACAGCCTGACGGGGACAGGCAGAGCCATGGCCTGCAGGAAGCCTCCGGCACTGGAGCCAGCTCTCAGCCCACCCAAGTCCTCCGAGCAGAGACTGCTCCACAGGCCAGTTCGTGCCGTCCAGCGGTCCCAGTTCCTGACATGGAGCTGCCCACGATGGGTGCTGTGAACCAGCCTGGGGAAAGCAGCGATGTCTCCAGCACAGTGGCAGCAAAACCTCAGGCACCGAAAGAAAAGACAGACAAAAAGCAAGGTGAAAAGCAACCACCTACAGGGCTTCCTGCCTCAAGGGCTGCCGTGGACACTGGTCCTGCCCGTGTGTCCATAGAGGAGCCCCACATTCCAGGAGGCATTCCTCCTAACTCTGCATCTGCTTCCATTTCAACCCGTTCACTTCCTCCTCCTCCTACCTGTTCCTTCGCCTCAACTCTTCCCCCTCCTGAGGGACCTCGTTCCAGCTCACCATATCCCCTGCGCTCCCACTCATCCCCATCTCTTGCCTGGCCTCCTCTCCAAACTGCAGAACCAGCTCCCACACTGGAGCTGGATGGTGGGAAGTTCTTCACTTTCGTTGTCCTGCATGCCAGTGAAGATGAGCCTGTTGCCCGTCGGGTCAAGGACCTGCTGGAGAACATGGGGGTGCCCAATGGTGCCACGCTCTGTGAGAACTTTGCCATTGCTGGACGCAGCCATATGACTTGCTTCCAGGATGCTATGGAAAACTCTGCTTTCATCATCCTCCTGCTGACCAAGAACTTCCCATGCGACCTCTGCATGTTTCAGACAAACACTGTCCTGATGGAGTCCATCATGAATCCATCCAAGAGCGACTCAGTCATCCCTTTTATACCCCAGGAGAACCCCTTGGAGTGGAGTCAGATTCCTGCTGTGCTTGGAGGGCTGACACCCTTGGACGAGAAGTCTCCTGGCTTCTCCAGGACGGTGCAGAACACCTTCACCACCAGCAGGATCAATGAGAAGAAGGACTCGTGGGACGTGCTGCAGAGAAAGAAGCTCCAGCTGCGAGAGGAGCGGCAGCGAACGCTGCAGGGTATGGCTGCCCTCAACCTTGGCTCCATCCCTCCCTCAGTAACAGAGCCCCCGCTGCTGGAGCAACCACCCCGACAGTGGTGGTCTCCGGCTGGAGGTGGCCCCGGGCCTGCTCACATGGGGCCTCCTCCTGTCCAGCCCCTGTCAGGCCACTACAACGTGCTGCCAGGTGCAGGAGGGATGCCACCCCTCATCATCCAGCACGCCCGAATGGTGCAGATCGGGAACCACAACGTGATGCAGGTGGAAACCCTCACCCCACGCGCAGAGGGCCCTGAGGAAGGCTCCAGGCAGAGCATCTGAGGAGAGAAGCAGCAGCTGAGCCACGGCTGGAGCTGCTCACGCGTGGGTTCAAACCCCAAATGAGTGATGGTGCTGGGACCGGGACTACTCGCACTTCACTGTGGGTTAAAAGTGCCACTTCCTGGAGCCCAGGAGAAACTGATCTGCTTTTGTGTCGGACAAAAGAGGCTGCAGCCTCCTGCGACTCCTTCCCTTGTGCTTCCTTATGAGTAAATGAGAAAACGCTTTTTTAACTGAGAAAACTTGATTTTGAGGCCACTGGATGGGTTTAGAAATAAATTGTAATTGATTGATTGGCATTTCTCCACTTCTATCCTGTAGAATTCCCCAAGGGGCAGCCAGGGATAGCTGGAAAACCAGGGGATGTGTCTGTACCTTGGGGGTGGAAGGAGCTGGGACATGGCACACGCTCCCATCAGACCCAAGGAGGTTCAGGAAAGCAGCTTCTGACATCCAAGGGGCAGCAGGAATCAATTCCCAGTTCCCCTTGGGAACCACAGCGAGAGCAGTTTGGGTGGTGAAAGACAGAAATTCCCCAGTGCTCCCTCGGCATGGCCTGAAATGGGTTTGTATTGAAGGAAACGATTAAAGAACTGGGATTGCACACCAGGCCCAAGGGGGAAGAGGGATCTGTCCAGGAGAGCTTGGAAGGGGCAGGGAGGAAGATTACTTCATGAAGATGGAATGAGATGGGGAAATGTGGAGGAGGTTTGCGGAGGCAGAAGCTACGTGTCCATCCCTCCGTTCTCACCTGCTTGTACAAGCCCAAGGTGGGAGCAGGAGTGAGCCTGGGGCAGCACAGAGGAGAGCTCTGTGTGCATTCCCCATCTCTGTGTAACCTCCTTTAGGGAAGCTCTGGGGGGAAAATGAAAGCGTTGAGCAGAAAATGAAAGCGCTGAGCGGAGCAATGCGGAAGGGGTGGAGAAAGGCAGGAATGGGCAAGGAATCCCGCAGGACCTGGGGGAGGGCTACACCTGGGAGCTATCTCCTGAGCTTTCAACACCAGGAGGCAGCTGCAGCGAGGCCCCAGACCCCGCACTCCTCCAACAGCTTCTGCTGCAGCCGTTTGCCTGCTCCGTCAGCAGAGGTCAGCCCCAAGCCACCACTGGAAACGGGGCTGCAGAGCTCTGGAGTCAGCTCACCCTGGCAGGAAGGAGCCCGTCCTCCCCAGGGTGGACACCTCAAAGGCCAGCGTGGATACAGGCAAGTGACCCCATGCAGGTCACTCTGAAAGCCTGTCCCGGGTGGGTTCACATGGAGAGGAGCCACCATGGTCTGGCAGCCAAAGCACAGGGCTCCCACAGCAAGCGAGCAGCAGCCTCCTGAATACAGCTCCCACCAAACCATGGGAGGAGAGAACAGAAGGGGAGCCCTGGCTCCTCAGAGGACACAAGTAACTGTAAGGGGCCAGTCCGCTCCACCTGCTCTGGGGAGAGCTGCAATTGCTGCCTTGGTGCCTTCCAGCACCCTGTGCCCCTCAGAAGGAGCTGAGGGTGCCTGCAGGGTGATGGGCGAGAGCCCAGGCACTGAGCAAACCTGAGTGCAAGCTCCTGGGCACCGCCAGATGGAGGAGCTCAGAGCTGGTCCTCCCTGCCCTTAAACTGCAACAGGGAAGTAGCTGGCAAGAGGTCTGGGTTCAGTCCCCCAGCATTTCCTCTTAAAGAGGCTGCAGGTCCTTCCTCATGGGTCTGTCCATAGGTTTCTCTGGGGGAGAACAAAAGCCCAGGCTTGGACACACCGAAGCCCTTTCTGTCCTGAGCAGAACAAGAACGCCACAAATACGATATTGCTATTTAAAACCTGCCATCAGTTGTTGGCTTCCAGCTTTGAAACAGCTCAGCTTTGAACTTGGAAGGACCCAGTGACAATGGATTAACCCATTTACTCTTTATAGAGAGCCTGCTGGAGTCCTCCAAGTGCCTGGATTCCTTCTCCATCCCTATTTAGCCTCCTCTACGTCACCCCTGTTGTCTAGGTGTTGTGTTACCGCGCTCCCCATCACACTGCAGTTGCTGCGCTCCTCCCCTGGGGAGAAGCCATGAAGACATAGCCACCACTCCTTCCCAGCTCCTCAGCCTTCTATAAATACACCTCATGGAAAAGCAGGCATCTGGAAGCTGCTCCAGCTTGTAAACAACCTCAACAGAGCCCATCCAGTGTGCCTGGAGTGGGGACAGGGAAAGCCATGGCAGCAGGCTCTGAAGTACTGCAGGGCTGGGGGATTTTAGTGTGCACGGAGCTCAACAAGACCAAAGGTTGCTGGGAGCAAACTCCAGCGAGGAGCCACAGCCCTGGTTTAACCGCAGCAGCAGCTTCACTCTTCCCCCGTGTTCAGGGCCCTCTTTGCCCTTGCTCACCCTGGAAGGGAGCTTCGGCACCAGGGCCTTGTGTTCACCAGGACAGTGCACATGGGCCTGTGGCCCCCTCGTTCTTCCCCGCTTTCTCTGGGAAGTGCTGGCATGGCACCTCCAGCTTTGGGCTCTAGGCCACTTTGTCAACAGTGAGCTTACGGCACCAGGAGGCTCCAAGGGCATCCATGGAAGGGCACCAGCAACTGCCCACAGGAAAAGCCCAGTGAATGCCTCACCACTTTGGCATTGCTAAAGAACTGCACGAATGAGAGGCTTTATTCTCCAGAGGGACCATCACCAGGATCCAAGAGGGAAAAAGCACATTGGAGGCTTTAAGAAAGGAGGAAAAGCAGATGTTTTGTTCATGGCAGTGGACGGAAGGGCTCCTGGTGTGCTACAGGAGGGTGTGCAGCCACCCCAGTGCAAACCCACCCTCCACTCTCTGCCCAAGAGTTACTCAGCTAAAACCATCCCTGGAATGTTTCCCTGCTCCCCACAACCCTCTGGTTTGCCCCATGCACCGGAGCTGGCCCAGACAACACCTATGATAAATATGGACTCTTCACTGTAATTACTCCTGAATTCATGCAGGGATTTCTCCCACCCAGTAATCACCATCACCACTGGCTTGCTAGGTCCTCAGTATGTTATTACACATTCTGCCTGTGTTACAGAGAACAAAACTTAAAGACATTTTCCATCACACAAAGTATTCTGGCCTCCATGAGGCTCTTACACATGACTGGAGTTTTAGAAATGCAAATCCCTGTGTGGAACTAACCCAGCACCTTTGCCAGGAGAGGTCTGCAACTGCAGTACAGCTCAGCTTCTCCCAGGAGGAAGGAGGACACAAACCAACCACGTCTGTTGACTGCACACACCCAGGATTTCCACAGCCACAAGTGTAGCATCCTTAGGACACCAGGTGAAAGGGGAGGCTCCCCACCAAGAACTCCAAGGCACTTGCATTCTAGCAGCCATTTGTTGGTTTATTATTTAAAGTTAAGGGCGCTCATCAGCTCACAAATGAACAACTTCCATTCCCGCAGTTGAGTTCAGGTTTCAGCCAAAAGGAAACAGAAACTAGAAGGCAGCTCAACTAAGTGTGCACTTTACAGCTCCAGACAAGTGAAACCTCCCGGCTTTATAAATACATGTTATAGTTAACACTGCAAAATGGGAACAGCAGATCTACAACAGCTCAAAGGGGCAGAGCGCTGGGTTACTGAGGCATGTGGATACGCTGGCTTATAAATACAAGTAGAGAAGCTTCAGCAGCATCTAGTGCATGGTTGGTTGCCAGGGTGCTGCTCTCCCAGTTCTTGACCTTTCCCAGAGCTCAGGGGCAGCTGCTTCACCCCCAACTGTGTTTTCCAGCCTGCCCAGGGCCAAGCACTGAGCCACGGCTGCCCAAGCCCAGTCACTCCCCCTGCAAGATCAACTGCGGCAGCAGCATCGTGCTCAGCAGCACCGAGTGCTTACCTGCAAGGAGGGCTCTGCTAAGGGGGGCAAACACCACCCCGAGACCGAGGGTTTCAAGAGGACACTGAGCTGTGTGCAGGTCCTAACCCAGGGAGTTTGCCCCACCAGTAGCCCAGGGAGATTCCCAATTCAATCATTGCAGTAGCACCATCCTCCGGGAAGTTGCAAAAGGAATCACAAGCCAAAAGCAGAAGCTCACAACCCACTCCAGGGAGGGATATTCCAGAGTGGGATAATGAAGAGCCCAACTGATTGATACCAACAAATCCCAGCAGAACAAGGAGGCACCTTTAACTTTCATTTCTTGCTTGCTTCTTCCTTCAGACCCCCCCCCCCATGCAAACGTGCCACCAACACTCACCTGCTTTACCAACCGTGCAAGCACCACCCCAGCACAGGTACCCCCCACCCTGGAGGGTCTGCCAAAGCCCATCCTCAGAGATGGCTCAAAGTGCACTGGTTTGGCTCTGCAACCTGGCCATATCCACCTCGATCCCCTGGAGCTAAAGGACCCTGGTGCAGGGAAGGGAGTGAATGCTGGAAGAATGGGCAAGCTAAGAGCCTAAATACCACATTAATGTTTCGGGTTGAAGGTAGCAGTTTTCCCTCCCCATTCATAAAACCCAACATCTATTGATGAAACTATATAACCAGAACTGACCTTACTATATCTTACGGGACTGAAGAAGTCTTGCAGCATAGATAGGGCCTGGCTCTAAAAGAGAAAAAATAACCCAGCTTTATGCACAATCATTGACATCTCAGGCCTTTACCACCACTTGTGACTTGGCCAACCAAGGGAGAAACAAAAACCATCCTCAGCATACCCAGCCCTACTGCCACGCAAGGCAACTACCTCAGCAGAGCACAAGCCACTCGGCTCCTCCCCTTGCACTGTCCCAAATCTGAGAAAGGGGGGTGGGAAAAGAATTAGGTGGAAGATGCTTTATTCCTCACTTGCATTCCTATCTGCTCGGTATGTGGGATGGGAAGCACTAGATCACACGTGTGAGGTGTGGCTGCTCCAAAGCTTAATGCTCAGTTAATCCGGCACTAAGGGGAGAGGCAGCAGGTCCCAGGGAATCTCCACGGTCCTTCCTTCTCAGGGCAAGACGGTTGGCATGGGGAAGGGCAGGGGCCGCAGCCTTCTCTGGATACAGTGCACTGGAGCTGTCTGGTACCTGAAGATGCCAACACTGAGGGGCAGCCATGGGCTCTCGAGCCTCCTCTTCCCCTAGCCCTGCACACGCCAGCTTCATGGTGACAGATGAGGACGAAGCTCCCATCCCATCTCAGCACAGCAACGGCCTTCGGCATCTAGGCAAGGATGGGCCAAGATCCCAGGCTGCACGACCTCTGTGGGGTGGAAGAAGCGAGGGGAGAGGCTGGGGACTTCAGCTCTCCCACCCTAATGCAGTTCAATGAAGGCTTCCAGCTCCTCGGGGATGAAACCCTTGTAGGGAATCTTGTGCTTGTCCAGGGCGCGAGCAGCAAGGCACTGGAGGGTGATGTAATTGAAGGGCTGCATCATGCTCTTGGTGAGCAGCTTCTCGTCCAGCAGCTCATAAGCAGTCTGCTTGAAGGCATTGGTGGCATCCATATGGGCTCCAGCCTCCATGAGGGCACTCATGATGAGCGGGCAGTTGTTGCGGGCGGCAATGTGCAGCGGGGTGTTGTTGTCATAGTCACGGCTGTCGGGGTCAGCCCCACACTCCAGCAGCAAGTTCACAACGTGGAGCGACGGGAACTTGCCCACGGGATAACGTCCCACTGTTGTGGTGTCTTTGTCCACAGCCATATGCAAGGGGGTGAAGCCGTTCTTGGCCCGGGGGCTGCACTTGAGCAGGCGGTAGATGGCCTGGCGCTTCTGGTGCTCCTGCTCCGGGGTGCACTCCACCTTCTCCAGCAAGAAGACCAGGTGCAGGATAATGGCCAGCGTCTTGGTGAACTGTGCTGAGTCAACGACAGGGTCCTTGCCATGCACCAGAGCTCTCTCCACCTCCCGGACCCCTTTGCTCAGTACTCCCATGAGGTCGGAGAAGCCCAGGTGAGTTGCTAAAGTGCCTTTGGAGCGGTCCTGAAGCACGTAAGAGAAAAGCTCAGCAAAGGACAGGAAGCTGCTGGCAGTCATGGGGCTGAGAGGCTCCAGGTTGCCTTGCTGCATGTCCAGGGCGTACTTCCACAGGTTAATGCAGCGCTCGAAGTTGCCGGAGTCAGCGTAGACGGCTCCTCGGTAGCGGATGTAATAGGAAGTGTCCGGGTGGGAAGGCCCCAGGATGCGCTCTCTGATCAGCAGCGCCTGCATGCGCATCTCATCCGGATCAGTGATCAAGGCTTCCAGCTCCTCCAGGGAACTCACTTCCCGGGAATAGTCATAGGCCAGCACCAGCTGCCGGGGCTCAGGTTTAGGCAGGTATTGCCCCCCCTCGCACCGAAGCTCCATCGCCCTTCGCCAGTACTTGTGGGCTCCCAAAAGGTCTCGTTTCTTATCCACAAACGTGGCACCCAGCAACTCCAGCGCTTCCACAGCAGCCTCTCGAGTGCAGAACACATTAGGGACCTGCTGCTCATCCTGGCTGGAAGCCGAGGCACAACATCTCTCACAGGTCTCTTCGCCACAGCCCTGAGGAGCTTCCTTGCCAGCGCCACAGCACCTCTGATGGCTCCCACCTGAGGCACAGGTCCCGTTTTGGCTCCCTGCAACCTCCTCCTCCTCCTGCTGCAGCCCCCCTTGGATGAGGTACTCCACGATGTTGGTGTGCCCGGTGACGCTGGCAGCCAGCAGAGGAGTCATGCCATAGCCGTCCTTCTCCATGCGGGCTTTGGAGCGGAGCAGGAGCTGCAGGATCTCCAGGCTGCCGGACTCAGCGCAGTCATGCAGGGCTGTGTTCCCCTTCACGCTCCGGCGGTTGACATCAGCCCCTTTCTCTAACAAGTAACGTGCGATCTCCCGGTGCCCTTTGTAGCAGGAGATCATCAAACACGTGTGTCCGTGCCGGTTGGCCACTTCCAGGTCTGCCCCGCGCTCCCCGACCAAGTACCGCACGATCTCGAGGTGCCCATCGAAGCAGGCGGCCCGCAGCGGCGTGGAGTTGGTCAGCGTGGTCTGGTTCACCGAGGCCCCGTGATCCAGGAGGCTGCGCACCACCCCCAGGTGCCCGGCGGCAGACGCTGCCCACAGCGGCGGGGCCCCCTCGATGGTCTCCCCGTCGAAGTTGACGGACCCGCCCTCCTCCACGCGCGCTCCGCAGTGATCCAGCAGATACTCCACCACGTCCAGGTGCCCGTGCCGCGCCGCGATCAGCAGCGGGGTGCTCCCTCCGCCGGGGCCATCGCCGCCGCCCGGCCCTGCCGTCAGCGCCTCCAGCTCCTCCCGGCTCCGGCTGCCCAGCAGCTTCTGCAGCAGCTTCAGCTTCCCATCGCGGGCCGCGTTGTACACAGCCGTGCGCAGGTCCATGGCGACGGGGGCCGCGGCGACCGCACCGGGCACCTCCTGGCCATGGACCGGCTGCTCCTCCGCGCCCGGGGCGAGGAACGGCGGCGGGCGGGCCTCGGGGGGCAGGGGAGAGGAGCCCTACGCGGCCGGAGGCGCCCGGCCGGACCCCGCTCACCTCAGCGCAGCAACCTTCGTTCCCTCCGCCCGGCCGCCATCTTAGGTTTGGAGCCTGAAACAAAATGGCGCCCGCCCGGCCAGGGGCGGGGTGGGAGTAGGATGATGGGAAATGGAGTCCCGCGCGCGGCGCTGCTCCACAGGCGCAGCCCCGCCGAACTCGGCTTCCCGGCAGGCAGCGGGGCAGCGGCGAGGTCGGAGAGCGAGGCCGCGGGGCCGCGCGGGGCACCATGGGAAGTGTAGTCCCGAGGGGAGTGGGACGGGCGGAGGGGGGGGTCCCGGGCTCCCCCTGCCCCTCAGTGCGCGGCCGGGCTGGGCTGAGCCGCGCTGCAGCCCCAGAGCCGTGTGCAGGGCTCAAAGGGGATCGAAGCGGCTCCAATCCTTCCATGGGGACCGGGCACCGCGGGCCTCCTGCTGGGCTCTATTTATAGGTGTTTTCTTCCCCGTTCCAGGAAAACAAGATCAGCCTGGTTGTTTCCGTTATTATTATCCCGCCTGTCATTACTATTATTCAGTGCATTCACCCGTTTAGGTCCTGTCTGGAATTACTTTGGATTAGCCTGCTAATGCGTGTTGCCTTGACATGGAAGAGCATTTTTGTTGCTAAGAAACGGCTTTTTGCATCACGGGCTCATTTTCCCTTCAGCAGCGGCTGAAGCCAACAGGAGCAGCTCCTGAGAGCCGGGATGTCCACGGCAGAATTCCCACACAAGCTGCACGGGTCCTGTCATGGAGGTGTGCGATGAGCGCAGGGATGCAGCAGTTCCATGCTGGAAAAGGAGCATCCCTGCTGTGTCCCTGTTGTGTGAGCGTGGGTTCCTGTGTGCTGGAATACATGGGAGCATTCCCACATCCCCTCCGCACACGCATGTGTGAATGCACGCACATGGATGTGTGAATGCATGCACATGGATGTGTGAATGCACGCACATGGATGTGTGAATGCACACACATGGATGTGTGAATGCACGCACATGGATGGATGTGTGAATGCACGCACATGGATGTGTGAATGCACGCACATGGATGTGTGAATGCATGCACATGGATGGATGTGTGAACGCACGCACATGGATGTGTGAATGCACGCACTCTGTCACAAGACAATGGTTGTGTTCTCTTCAGCTGATGGCAGGCAGCAGTGCGGTGATGCTGCAGGGAAGGGATGGGATCCAGAGGGACCGGGACAGGCGGAGAAGTGGGACCATGGGAACCTCATGGAGCTCAAGAGGGGCCAGGTCCTGCCCCTGTGTCAGGGCAATCCCAGCGCAGCCACAGGCTGGGGGTACCGGATGGAGCAGCCTGAGGGGAAGCTCCCCATGACCCAGCCCAGACCCCTCCGTGTGCTGGGAGCATCCCCAGAGCAGGAGCTCAGCGAGGGGATCCTGCCCCAATGCTGTGCCTGGGGACCCCCCTGCAGCCCTGATCCAGCTCTGGGGCAGCAGCACAGGAGGGACCTGGAGCTGTTGGAGTGAGGCCAGAGGAGGCCACAGAGCTGCTGCGAGGGCTGGAGCAGCTCTGCTCTGGAGCCAGGCTGAGAGAGCTGGGCTGGGGCAGCCTGGAGAAGAGAAGGCTCCTGAAGGGGAGACCTTGGAGCAGCTCCAGAGCCTAAAGGGGCTGCAGGGAACCTGGAGAGGGGCTTGGGACAAGGGCCTGGCAGGGGTTGGAGCTGGATGAGCTTTCAGGCCCCTTCAACCCAATGCAGTCTGGGATTGTGGGGTTCTGAGTAAAGAGCTGCCCGCAGTGAGCTGGGGCACGCGGGGTCCGTTTTAACCTGCGTGTGTTGGTGCGCACGAGGGGCTGCGTCTCCATCCCTGCCTCTGAACCCGCAGCGCTTGGGCTGTTCAGGTGGACCCACGGTGCCATCTCCCCTCCCTGCTGGCTCGCTGGCGTTGCCATGGTGATCAGATGCACTCGCACCCTTAGCTCAAGTATCTGTTAACGAAAGCTGCCGATGAATTTCCCCTCCCTAGCACGCGGGTGGAATTCACCGGAACACCAGGGAGGGTTTTTAGGTCCCAGTTTACTCCAGAGCCTGGCCCCGTCTCGGCTGGGCTCTCAGAAACATCACAGGGTAGAAACGGAGCCCAGGAAAATGGCTTTTTCTATGGATAAAGAGCAATGAGAGAGCGAAGAGCACGAGGAGGAGCCACAGCAGCCGCTCCCTGCAGGGCCGGGGCTCACATCCCTCATCTGCAGAGTACCCCCCACAAGGCCCGGAGACCCCGGGGCAGGGAGATGCAGATAAAGCCTCGGGCAGTGTTCCGAGGGTATAGAGGGGAATGGAATCCCCACCAGAGGGAAGAGGAGCTAAAGCATGAGGCGCTGTGACAGGGCTGCTGGGTTGTGTGGCAGGAGGGTTAATTCTGTCTGCAGCTGCCCTTTCAGAGCCCCTTGCAGCCAGGCTGGATCTCGCAGCACTGCAGGAGCAGCAGCATCTTCCTCCCAGGGTACTTAAAAAGCAAGTGAATGGATGACCAAAATTGGACAGGGACTTGAGAGGTCCAGGCTGAGCCCTCACCCTTGCTAGAGACTCCTTCTGCAGCCTTGGGCCGGTCCTTTCATCTTCCTCAGGCTGATTTCCCTGCCAGTAACATGGGAATAACGACTGCTCTTTACCTGTCTGCTCATTGAGGCTGTGAGCTCGGAATGTACAGCCTGGATTTGCTGGGCTTGCAGGGCAGGCAGAGCTGCAGAGCCTCAATTCACAGCCATTGCGTACAGCACTGACAGTAACACAAGGGCTCAGTGACGTGGTTTGGGATGGGATTAGCATGAAAGGCCCAGGAGCTCCCCATCCGTTGTTCCACTCTGGAGCCCTTCCCTCCGAACGGGGAACGTTTGGATCCGTGCTAAGGGTTCCAGAAGGAGAGGGCTCATTCAGGAGCCGAGGCCATGCTGGCAGCCCTGGAAGCCAACGCCAAGGGCAGGGGGTGCTCCTGCTGCTCTGCTCAGGGGGACCCCACTTGCAGCACCGGGAGCAGTGCTGGGCTCCTCGATGTAAGGACAGAACGGAGCTTTGCAGGCAGCTCTGTACCAGGCTTTTCTCAGCCTTTTAGGGCTCTGCCGGAGGGGCACAGGGTGATGGCTCCTGGCTGCCGGAGCTCCAGAGCTCCCCTCAAGCAGCTCCATGAGGAACGTGCTGCACAAAGGGAACAAGCCCCAAAACGGCGCGAGACGGCACCGTGACATTAGGAGGAGCAATGGGCCCGTGCCCAGCTGGCTGCAGGGGCTTTTGTCCTGTGACCACCTTCACCAGGAGCACTGGGGTGACATTCTCTCCTGGGCTGATGCAGGTGAGGCCGCGGCTGCCTGGGAGGAAGGACTTTGATCAGACAGCACAAGAGGCAGGCTGGGTTCACACGCAGGCACTGGGGTTCCATTTACATTGGGCACCAGCCTGGAGATCCCAACATTAACGGTGGCACTGCTGCCCTCTGAGGTTTTGTGGGTTTCATAGATCAGAGGGGGAGCGTGGCTCCTTCTTGCTTAGGATACACGGATCTTTCCTCTGAGCCAGCATCAAAGGGCAGGGATGTGCAGAGTCCTTCAGTTCTTTCCTCAATAGGTTTCCTGGGAGAAGCATTGCTCTGCTCCGCCTCCCACATTAACCAAGGTGCTAAAGAGCTGCTTTGGATCCCAGAAAGAACAGAAAGGACAAGACAGCCTCTGAGGCGAACAGTAAGATAGAGGAGCATCAGATTTGCACCTAAGCCTTAGGCTCAGTTTGCTTTTGTGTGTACTGGCAAGTCATCACCTCTGTCCCTGGCCACAGCTCTCCGAGTAACTGTGGCTGCCTCGTAGTTGTGATGGAGCAAGGAGCTCCAGTACAAAAGCCTGAGGGATGTACAAACTTCCAGCTAGAGAGAGGCCCAAGGCAGCCTCCCTCCTCAAGGCAAGAATCCCTGTTCCCTTTTCCAGAGGCACCGAGTGAGGCAGACACTGGCACAAGGAGCTGCAACAGGTCAATGGGAGAGAATAGAACCGGGAGCCCAGTTGCTGTTCAACAAAGGAGTATTAGGACCCACTGAGGACCTGGATGTTACTGACCGGCTTCAAGGACTGTGAAGCCCTTGTTAACCACGAAGCACAGCGATTTGGAGGGCAGGGGACTCCCTTTGCCATGGACACATCTGCTGTAATGTGCTCTGGTGCCCTGCTGCACCAGCTCCGCACACAGGGTTCTGCTTTCAACCTAAGTGACCCAGCTGAAGGTCAAGCCCAAAGGACTTAGGCTCCATAGGCCATAATAACAATGACTTGGGTGATGCTGAGCATCTCCTGTTTAGGAGAAAACGAAGGAAGAAAGAAAATGCTTGACAGCACCAACAACCCGAACTGTTCTAAAGACATTTTGGCACTCACTTTTACCACTGGCCTCGGTGCACTTCAGCAGTTCCATTTTCACCCCTGAACACCTTTGAGAATAGAGGCTCTGGGTGGTGTGGACCATTGGCTCCTTCCACGTTTAAAACCCTGTTGGAAGCAAAGGGCCTGACTTTCAATGCAGGCATCAAGGTACAAGCAGAGTCAGTGCTCTCGGTCGCTGGTGTGTGAGTCCTGACCCTCCACACGTTTGCTGCGGGGTTCAGACACAACCCACACCACAACAGTGGGGTTCAGGTGGGTGCCGTGCTCAGGGAGGGCTGCTCAGGGCTGCTGCAGCAGCCCCACAGCCTGGCTTCTTCACAGACACTTCTGCTGCTTGGCTCAGAGCCCGCATTTGGGATCCCTTCGAGGGGAAGGGGGCTGAGGAGCAGAAGTCAGGATACGACCTCCAGGGTCCCCAGGTGCTGAAATCCATCCTCAGGCTCCAGGTCTGCGTCGCAGGCAGGGCTCTGGGCGGGCAGCACAGCGAGGGTGCGGGTGCAGGTCTGTGCTGGATGGCAGGCTATGATTTGTTGTCACCTTTATCAATCAGA